ATAATATAATAGAGTTTAGGAAACTGTATATTGATGGTAAAGCACGGCTGATGAACGAGAGGGGCAGTTGAATAAGTTCCAAGAGAAAGCAAGAGGCCTCTCGAGCGATCACCCGAACGATGAAGAATTCAATTGTGAAAAACAATCGTTCGTCGAGACGTCAACGATGTGCATTTGCATATAGGAATGCTATAAGCTAAATGGATTATGGTTCGCAAATACCACTGTGTTCAGAGCTGGTCACCACAGTGGACGACAATTACGGGAAAGGGGAAATGAATGAAAGTTATGCTAAGGCCTGTACAATCGGTGAAGAAGAGTCTGTGTATCAGAGTATGCCAGTGCAATCAAAAAGCGAATATTCCCCTAGCAGTTAAAAATTAGGTGTTGTCTCATATGCCGTCCACTAAGAGTCAGGCGTAGTCGCGAATTTAACATCGTATATACACAGCGAGATAGTATAAAGACGCTTGTTACACATACCCTATATAGTTAGTATTCATTATTGACCAGCTCGGGATATACGCTTTCCTTTATTGACAAACCTACACGATGTTGACACAGAGGTTCATGAAAATTGTTATTCTACATTACAATTGGTGAGAAACTTTTTGTCACTGTTATAAACTCGGATTGCTTATAAATGTTACACATCATAGGTTTATTGCTGACTCTGTTATTCCATTAACTAATCTCATAGAACTATTTTATTGAAACGACTGACCTTCTTTGTTTTTACAATTAAACGCTGACGTCTTGCAGCAGTAACCGCACGTCTTAGGACAAATTTGCACCGCCGCCTGTACCACTTCTTCATTGAGTTTCTGGTCAGCACCCTAAAATGAAGAAAAGATTGGCTCACGTAGACAAAAAAGACAGCTAATGACCTTAATTCGAACTGGAGCTTTTCAAAGATGAGTTAGGTCACCGTCACATTGAAGACGGCCTACGGAAATGATCGATTTTATGTGTGGATTCAACTACATCTTGGCTGATCTGTCGTGATTCCCTTGCCTTTATTGCTGGAGAAACTATTACCCCTACATGTTAAACATCTACGATTTCATCGTGTAGTCACAAGCTGATGAGAGCTGGAGAGAGTTTGCTCTCTAACGACGTGCTTTCCTTCCAAGGAGGTAGCGATTCTAATAACTGATCGACTAGGCGTCTAAGGAAAACGCAGCAAAATTAAGACCAATATCCAATGCTTATCGGAACTTAGAAATCATTATACAGCATACTGAGTTTCTACGAGTAGAAACACGGATTGAAAGATGATATATTTATTGAGAGAGCGATTACTTATACTTAGCATGAGTGAAACTATAGGCCACTAATCACAGATATTTTCATGCACTTAATGTTCATGATACTGGAGAGAAATTTTGTTGGCTGATTATAGCACTGAGCGACAAGAATTGCAATGAATTTGGCCGCTATAATAGAAGAGAAAAGTTGAAATTAATGGAAATGCAGCGCCATACGATGTCACTATTTGAGCACTGTGAAACAATGGAAGGAATACCTGACAATGTGGAGTGCTGTGCAAAAACATTTGCGACAGCCGGGATTTGAACCCAGATCTCACTCTTTCCGGGAGCGTATGCTAATCGTTGCACACTGGCGCTCGTTTTGCACAGCACTCTTTTTTACTCTCGGATTAATGGAAGCAATATTAAGCATCAAATTAGCCTTTTCCTTTCGAGTGATTGAAAATAAATTGTTTCATTTGAAAAATGGAAAGATTGCGGTTTCATGTAATCATTTTTATGAAAGATCTCTACTTAGGTTTTTGAACGCATTCCGCCTAAGTCTCATGTGTAGGCTAGGTCCAGTGTTAACGAAAGGAGATGATGGAAGACAGAAGCACAGTGGAGACATTTTAGGCATTAAAATCACGATTATTGCACAGGACTTTAAAAAGTCATCAAAAACCCACGGTCCACTTTGAATGATTCCCAAGCATTCAATAATCCAAGAGAAGTGCCTTGTTGATACCTCTCCACAATTTTACGCCAGTTTTTGTTCTTAACAGACCTGGGCACGTGTGGAGCAGTGGTAAGAGGTGTGCTCTGATTTACACATGGTTCCTACTTATGGTTTAGCTTGTTTTTCATATGTCTAGGCTTGATGAACTGGTACCAGCCCTGTCTGTAACATAGCACTACCCATTTGATACATCGGAAAGCTTTCACCAGTTCTTGTAAAGGTCGGATATGCGTACAGTCATCTCTAACGGCGCTTAGTAAAGTCATATATATAGCTTATCTTTCGGAAATTGTTTATGGTCAAAAGAGAAAGAGAAAGAGAGAGATAGAGGTAGAGAGAGAGAGATAGAGAGAGGGAGAGAGAGAGAGAGTGAAGGAGAGAGAGTCAGAGGCAGGTTTTCACTCATGTAAACTCCGTGCGGCCAGACCCCATCGATGAGTGGAAAACTCACAAGAAAAAATAGTGACTGTTTAAAGAAGCTACTTTCAATGCAAATGAAACGTGGCTTTGGATTTCTGTTGAAATTATGAAACTATTTGACTGAGTAAATTGCATATCCAGGAAATTCGTTGGAGAATTTTAAATGATGCTCAGTCTGCTGAAACATTATCATTATGGAAGAAATATCGTGACCCCACTTACCTGGATAGAAACGTATGAACTTATTTTTAGTAAAAGCAATATTGTCGATGTGACGTACTCTCACCTGGTAACATTTTGCGTTCCTGTCTTTGCTGGTTGCAACCGCCACAGCTTCTGTGTAGAGCACCAAGCAAGTTGCACTCGAGAGTTTATCTTTGCAATTCACAGCACCCTCCGTGTACTAGAAACACTTTTCTCACCTATGCTACAGTAATCACAGTTGATCAAGATTTCCATTCAAACTACATAGAATTCACATACTTTAGAATCGGCTCCGTCGACTGCGGTGCAACTAAGATCGGCTGGAGCTGCGGCCATAGTTGATTCCAACAGAGCAAGAAGAAACAAATTGAATAGTATGCACTTCATACTTCTGAACCATGTAGCTATGCTATTCGTGTCTTTTGTTATGTTCAGCTATATTTATTAGCGGGGTTGAAGGTGCATAACATTGAAAAGGTACTGAGAGGAAAATAAAATTAGAGTGATTTCCTTAGTTGTGCGAAGTATTTTTTTAAATAAAGATTATTGATAGGAGGGGTAATGTTAAAACTACATAAATCTATTGAAAGCGGTAGATTCAGCAGAATCACTTCAGAGAGAACTTTAGCAGACATGCTACGAAAGTGGGAGTTGTGGTGGAGACGCTGAAGCAGATATCGCTATGATAACAGTGCTTTTATGCTGTTAGGTTTTAGTAGCAGCTGTGCTCACGACATCCCACGATGGGTTCAACAGTTCACAGGCAGTGACATGCTACACCAACGTCACTTTGCAATGGACAAAGAGAAAGCTGCTCAAAGTCAACCAGACAATAGCGTAATATGTGCTCAGCTATGGCTAAAAGCGTCACTGATAAAGAGCAGAATTGAAATTGAGAACGAGCGAAGGGTATGCTTCATTTTTACACTCAACTTGGCTTGAATGCTATTTTGATTATACCGAAGAAGAAAAAAAATTGAAGCATCAATCCTCATCAGAAACAAATTCTTTTGATCTTCTAAAACTGCCGTTATGATTGAGTTTATCAACTACCTATCCAACATATATTTCATTTCATAGATTCATTAATAACTTGGCTTTTTTTTTCAGAAATTACTGAGCATAGTAACGATAACAATTGATAGACTTGATGCTTGCAGCTATTTCTCTCTTCAGTTGTTTCATGTTCACTGATTCAGCACAGCTTATGTCTGGTCCAACTATGCCTTACTCTCAACTCCCACAATACCCCAGGTTTTAGAAAAGACGTAATTTTTTAAGTCATAATTCTTACGTGATTCAGTTTACTCTTGCTAACAATCACTATAAAATTCATCGATTTTATCACGTTTTCCGAAAACTTTTTGAAACTCCAACATACTTCTCGAATATAAAGAGCAGTGAAAAAACGGTTCGTTCAAAAAATTCTATTTGTTTAGTGATGGATAGATAGAAATATCAGCTGTCCGCTAAATGCCTCGTCTCGATTCGTCACTTACAAACTATTTGTGAGAATTAACGAATATTGGTGAATAGTTTATATGCCGTAGACAAACATATGTGATCCCTACATCAAATCTAAATGTTACCCGTATAGAAAGATGATCGTCGAACTCAACTTGATAGCATGTTGGATTTTATCTAGTAGCTGTTATATTTGAATTATGCTTATCATCGTCAAAACTTCTCAAATACACCGAAAAGAAGAAGGGACTGCGCTTGTGGAGTTCCCATCGGTCAATTTTCATTGGAAGAATGACTCTCCTGATGTTAACAAGATTGGAAAAGGTTACCGTTATTCGAAGTCTCTAGTATTTTACTCCATTTTTTGCAGTGTTATGATCATTCATATATTTCTAAGAGAACTGAATGGCAAGTAAGAACAATGTCTCAGGCGGAAATCGAATCCGTGTTTCATCCTATCCGAGGACGCGTGCTCTACCACTGCACCACCGAGGCACATTTGCGCCATCACTCATTCTTCAACATCTCTGATTAGCTATCAGCCACAAACCTTTTCAATGAATTTGCTCGGATACGCGATTTTACTTTATAAACCCAGCTGAGCCGACAGCCATTGTGATAACTAATACTGGTTATTTTTAAGTAGTTTACTGCATTTTTCAAAGTGTCATGATCATCCAAATATTCTTAAGAGAATTCAGTTGTGAACAAAACATATGATGGTATGACGCAACGTATATGAATAATCATAACAATGCGAAAATTGCAGTAAAATACTAGAAATTCCGAATAAAAATCATCACTATGGCTGTCAGCTCAACTGAGTTTATAAAGCGAATCGCATACCAGACAAAACCTGTTGAAAAGGTTGGTTGCTGGAAGCTAACATAGAGATGTGGAAGAATGAAAGGTGCTGCAAATGTGCCTCGGTGCTATAGTGGTAGTAGCACGCGTCTCGGGTATGAAAAAAACGCGGGTTCGCTTCCGGCCTGAGGCCGTGTTTTTGCTCACCACTCAATTCTCTTAGGTATCTATGAAAGTCTACTGTGTTTGCTCGTTTACGTACTTGTGATTGCGCTTTCTGATCTCAGTCAAACTCCAGTTTGTTTATGGTAGCGTAAACTAGAGCTGGAAGAAATGGAAGTTCCATGTGATTTAGCTTACGTGGTGGATTACCGCTCTGATCGTGAAGATCGCATTTGTAAGTGATTGTCATCAGCCATTTTTTGCACGAATTTCTGATGTCTTCCTTCTATTCATTTGTAGATTCCTGGCATTAAACATGAGAAAGCAGTTTCATAATGTCAGCAGCGCAAATGATGCTATTGATGGAAATCTAACTCTAATTTTTCTAGTTCACGAATCGGTAGTGTGGTGTAGACTGAATAATCCAAACTTTTGGCTCAACAACTGGCGAGGTTTCAAAATTGCCAACAAATGGTGATACAACTAGGATGTCAGGAGTAACTTCTCTTGTTTGACTAGAATTAGTGAGACTTTACCCTCAGCTTTTCGTGCCAGAATAATTTCTACGAAAGAAGTAGAGCGGATGCTTAAACTTCATCATTTTCCACATAACCGTTGGATAATCTCGTCATGAGCAAGATACTGATACCATACTTTTGTTCCAAGTGTTTTCTCAAGACCGTGCTCGAATTTCAATATGCCTGGCATTTATTTTTTGAGCCGTGAATGTGGCATTTTATAGGGCTACCTATAGAGTCCGATGCACGTAATTTGGTCTTGACTGCCCGTCAGTCTGGTAGTACCCGTCGTCTTTAGCCAATCCTCTTGAGTAGACTCAACCCCTACAAAGAACTGGCGACGGCGAACATTTTCAAACATGCCATTGCGTGAAAATATCACTAAATGGAAGTGTTTTACACTCGAGTGTTCTTAGCTGGTATCGGTAAATATACCACACCCTTCGATACGAGTGTTTTTTGAAACCACGCTCAAATTTCCATATGTCTGATAATCACATAAGCATGGCTTAAGAATTGATTATCAGGCATAGTGATAACAAAATGTTGAACATCACCGGAAGGTGTGGTGATCATCTACTCAATTTCTTGACGGCATAAATGAAGAGAAAATCAGTTGCGTTCAAATAACAAAGCCTATCGCTTTACGACGTGTGGCAAAATTACGACTATCTCGTTCACTATTATTATTCAAAACTTTCTGCTTCTTTTAATACATGAAAATACTATCGTGTTCTTTTATTTATTGATAATAACATAAGGTCATCTTGCAAGTTCTTCGAAAAAAATCTTCCTCTGGAAAACGACACTATAATACAATGTTAGGAACAAGGTATAAATATTTCATGAATTTTGAAAGGAAGAGCAGCGTCAGTGTCATGTAGAACACAGGAAAAAGTCGACAGTCATTGATGAGATTGTAATCTCATCTCATTATTGACACAAGTTGCATGGTTTGCCACAGTACTGCCGCTTCTGCTGGTCGCTGTAGAACGGATTTGTGCAGAAACCATTCATCACCCATCTCGAGCAGCTGAAAGCAGCATAAATGACCATTCTTCGTGATGGTTTATGGAGAGAATGCAGCGCAAACAAACTTATGAATTTTCATAAGACATTTTATGATAGCACAGAAAAAATGTAGAGGATATAGGCTGATGAAAATTTTGATCTTCTGATGATATCTGAGCGATAAGAATAAAAGGACAGCCAACCTTGATACGTTACCGCATGCAACTCCACCACCCGGTGCTGAAATAATGAAGCTTCAGCACATTTGTTACCACATGAAACATATAGATTTCATGAAAACTGGAAAGTAATTAGTCGTACAACTGCATGAAACACTTTATCTGAGCACTTGGTAAATCTCGTTGAATAAATTGAAATATCGCAGCCTTTATTCTCTGTCAGCAAAAAGTAGATTCTAAGAATTTATGATTATGATTCCAATGATTTTAGAAGTGATAAACCTCTTTCCTCCCTTGAAATTCGGTTTCTCAATTCTTAGCGAAAAATTGTGAAAAAGACATTTATAACTCATTAAAATTCGAAAGTTATTCAGACTTCCAATAATTTCAGTTTTAGGAAGTATTTTAGGATCTTCTTGGTCTCCATCTGACATTGTGAGTATTACGATTTTACGGCATTGATGCTCGATTTTTTGTAGGTAGCAAGTAGTTTTCCCTTTTTCATAAAAGCATATATGTGTGACAGTGGACTTCATGAGCGTTCTCCTTGAGATGTGATGCCTTAAGTGGGACATTCGATCTTTTAAAATCTCTTCTGAAAGGCAGAAGCAGCTCCATGAAAAATTTAGAAAATCATTCTAGGAAAGTTTGCTGCAAAAAAGCGAAGCTTTTTTCCATAGGCTTCCTAGCCTTTGAAATTCTGACTAGTCTAGTGAATGAGCTGCCATGGAGAATCTGTTCTGCCTCCAGATTTCAAGACTGATCTCTTCAGACAACAGAAAAGTTGTCTCCAGTTTCGGATGATTTTTCGACCACTTATGGTAGTGGTAACAGGAGTCTCGCAGAAGTCACACGTAGCCCGGCAATTCTCCTAAAATTACTAGAGGCTTCAAACTATTCTACACACTGCTTCCGTTAAATCAGTTTATAAATGGCTTGTTATGTATGTGAGAGATCGAATAACCTGGCTGAAGCAAATGTTTTTGCACAGCACTCTACATTATTGGGTTCATATTATTTTATTCATCGCAAGATCTAATCAATCAATCACAATGGATTAAAAAACGATTTACAAGAAGCACGTACTCTAACAAAATATTGTAAGTCAATATCACGACATATGCCGGGATCATTTTTGCAATAGGACACTTTGTCCATGCAATTCGGATCTGCAATTGATATAGTAGCCGACTAAACTGAAGATAGTGATTAATTGGCAAAATAAAAAGTAAATATACCTTGCTCTTCGCAAAACCCACAAACAGCTGGGCGATCCTCCACCAAAATTCTTCTCCAGGTCAGATCGTGGCATTGTTCCATCGTTACAGTTTCACACTTTACCCGAGGTTCTAAAAAGCTGATCACTAATATTATCGTTCCCGACAGCGTCGCTAAATTGGAAAAGTGTTCGTTGGACTTTGCAGAACGCACATTTAGTGGCAACAAGATATCGGAGGGGCAGCTATTTTCGCAGTATTTTGAGTAAGAAATTTTCAATGTTTTTCTTCCTCAAAACAGCGATCTTTGGAATATTCTCATAGTATTGATGAGGCATATTCGACAACAAACACGGCATGTAGGACAAGTGGCGGTGTTGTTGAAAAAGCTCTTCAGTAGACGCATGGTTGGTGAATCTATACTGCGGCCTTAACTTAGTTGCATCTCTTATTCCTTCGGACATTTGACATCCTTGATTTAAGATAAGAAGACTGAACGGCTGTATGTACAGGCTCTGAAAGTCTCTTCTTGAAGTGAGTATTCATTATGATTCTCAATGGAACCGAATGAAAGACGATCCTCATGAGATGAACATAACTACTAAATGCTTTGTCTTTAATGTTTTTAAGAAGACGTATATATCGCGATCAGTTTGGCAGTAAGCAGTAGGATGAAAAGCATTGCTTTTTGCAATCGTAATGATGAGTATAAAAAATTCCACGCTCCCAAACACGATGAAATCCAATCCATTATTGAGCGAATGGGGGCGACGTGGCCGAATGGTTTTGATGTCTGTCGCGGCGCGCGTGGAGCCGGGCTCCATCCCCAACTCTCTCCGGTAGTCAACATTATCGCCCTATGGAACGCTACAGCCAGGCTATCCTCGAGAGTGCAAAGAGACTCGCCCAACCGGTATTCCATGCCGTTCAAGAAGAAGAAAAACGAACCGAATGTTAGAAATACTGGGATCCGCACAGTGAAAAAAGATGCTGTAATGATGGATTAAATAAAGTGTTAAAACGAAGTACAAATTGGTCGATTGATCTACAACCTTCAGTGATATGATCAAACAAAATTCCTAATTGTTTACCGTTCAGCGATAATGTGTCATACACAGCTATGCTAACCATCATCTCCTATTTCATCAAACGGATAATGCACTTCGCCGGCAATGTTGCACAGGCGTGCCGTAGTTCAACACTTTTCTCTCTTTAGGTAAGATGCAAATCATAGGTGATAATGCGAAATTTTGAACTGTTGATTGTTTCTTCTGTTATATAAGAAGCCTATAAACCCTCTTTAAATTCAAGTGACTTACTGTCTTTATTTCTACAGTTATAAGCAGGCGTCAGGCAGCAGTAACCGCACGTCTTTGGGCAAATATCTATTGCCAACTGTACAGCCTCGTCGTTGCGCTTCCCGTTAGCCTAAATAAAAAACTTTTTTTGGTAGAAAACCATCTTCGTAGATTGCACAGAAGCACGATTTATTGTGGAAAAATCAGGGTTGAAACTTTGATTTCGAAAATCTGTTATTCTCTACTCTCATAAACATGGCGAATAAAGCAAGGTCGCTTTCAACTTCAAGTTAGCCGTACTTCGACATCCTGACGAAGTTAAAAACAGGATCTCACGGGTTCTCATCGATTAGAATCAGATCAAATTTTGGTATTGCTTGTAACTGTAAACGCCAAAGTTTTGTGGACTTGTCCCAAATGGCGCAAGAGTTTCACAAGTTTGGAATTTTCTGGAGTCTTCTCTGTCATTCGAGATTCTGTGAATACATAATCCGCCAAAGCTCGCCCTACTATAAAACAGATACTGTACTAACAAACTCACGTCCGATCATTAGAAAATTCTAAAACAGCTGATTAACACCAATGCAATAGAAAGGGCTATAGCGATCTTAAGACGCTTCTGTGGTCAATTCTAGTTTTCGATATAACAGTTCAGAGTGAAGAATCGCTGTGAACGATTGAAAAAAAAACATAGAATCAAACTGAGGAGTCATACATGGCAAAGTTGCCGTTAGTCATTTGACAGCAAGAAGCGGCAGAATTACAGGAACGAGCAAAAGCTTTTCTCTCTTAACCTTTTCACAAGCGC